TGTACTTAACTATTTGATTACTCAAACAGCAAACTAACGCATTAGGTTACTCGTTACTGCAAAAAGTAATCAAAGTACTCTAACGCGTTACTTTGTAACGCGTTATACCCAACTCTGTTCAGGGACACGTCTGCTTCTTGTCCACAGACTCGAGACTCAACATGAAGAAGCAGCATTTAGTTTTTATGGAACAAACTCCAGAGACCCGCAGCTCTTTAAATTGAATCTAATGTTGCACTGTAACATTTATTCTTGAATTGTATACCTGTCTATTTAATTTAATTTTATATTGTCTTAAATGAAATTTTTTTTCACTTAAATCTTTATTTTTAGTGACACTGAATACAGCAATAAAATACTAAAATAAATAAGTATGTGTAAAATATAAAGTAGTATTTTATTTTATTTGTGAAATTTCATAAACATGTATTATTTTATACATGTTATATACATGTCAGAGCACCTGGAGGAAACCCACGCTGACACAGGGAGAACATGTCAGAGCACCTGGAGGAAACCCACGCTGACACAGGGAGAACATGTCAGAGCACCTGGAGGAAACCCACGCTGACACAGGGAGAACATGTCAGAGCACCTGGAGGAAACCCACGCTGACACAGGGAGAACATGTCAGAGCACCTGGAGGAAACCCACGCTGACACAGGGAGAACATGTCAGAGCACCTGGAGGAAACCCACGCTGACACAGGGAGAACATGTCAGAGCACCTGGAGGAAACCCACGCTGACACAGGGAGAACATGTCAGAGCACCTGGAGGAAACCCACGCTGACACAGGGAGAACATGTCAGAGCACCTGGAGGAAACCCACGCTGACACAGGGAGAACATGTCAGAGCACCTGGAGGAAACCCACGCTGACACAGGGAGAACATGTCAGAGCACCTGGAGGAAACCCACGCTGACACAGGGAGAACATGTCAGAGCACCTGGAGGAAACCCACGCTGACACAGGGAGAACATGTCAGAGCACCTGGAGGAAACCCACGCTGACACAGGGAGAACATGTCAGAGCACCTGGAGGAAACCCACGCTGACACAGGGAGAACATGTCAGAGCACCTGGAGGAAACCCACGCTGACACAGGGAGAACATGTCAGAGCACCTGGAGGAAACCCACGCTGACACAGGGAGAACATGTCAGAGCACCTGGAGGAAACCCACGCTGACACAGGGAGAACATGTCAGAGCACCTGGAGGAAACCCACGCTGACACAGGGAGAACATGTCAGAGCACCTGGAGGAAACCCACGCTGACACAGGGAGAACATGTCAGAGCACCTGGAGGAAACCCACGCTGACACAGGGAGAACATGTCAGAGCACCTGGAGGAAACCCACGCTGACACAGGGAGAACATGTCAGAGCACCTGGAGGAAACCCACGCTGACACGGGGAGAACATGTCAGAGCACCTGGAGGAAACCCACGCTGACACGGGGAGAACATGTCAGAGCACCTGGAGGAAACCCACGCTGACACGGGGAGAACATGTCAGAGCACCTGGAGGAAACCCACGCCAGTGCACTTCTCTACGCTGCAGTGTGCTGGGGAAGTAGCTTGAGAGACAAAAACACCAAGCGTTTGGACAAGCTGGTTCAAAAAGCTGGATCAGTGCTGGGCAGGAGACTGGACCCAGTAAGAGCTGTGGTGGAGAGGGGCACACTGTACAAACTGACAGACACCCTCTCCAAAGAGGAGCAGCTGCAGCAGTCGGCTCATCTCCCTGTGTTGCAGAACATCTATCTATCTAAACAAAACATTTTGCAAATTTTGGAAATAATTACATCCATCATTTTTTAATGAATTTAGAATTTTGGACTTTAAAATACTCTGAAGTTAAATATTATTGGAAATGTCTGGAAACAAACACGTTTGGGTTTAAAATCAATCAGAGATCAATAAAATAGACAGCTCAGATATGTTTTTAGGAGAGACTTAAACGACAACAGTGACTCAGACAGATAAATACATGATGAACTTTTCATTGTGAGTTTTTGGTCTGGCTACATTCCTGTTCCCTACAGAACCAGCTCCTGTTGTTAACCAGCACCTTAAATACCATTTGGAACATCTTTTATGATATTGATCGTTTTGTCATTGATCAGTTTCATTGATCAGTTTCAGAGGTGTTTAAACCATAACTCCAACAGATACCAGTGCTTACACTTTTTATCTTCCATAATGTCATAACATTGTATCTATTCTCATTCAGAGACACAGAAACATTGAACTCTTATTTGATTGTTATATCATTATTATTATTATTGTTGTTGATGGTTTTTTCAAACGTGATTGACATTGTCGGGCGAGCCTGAGCACCAGGAGAAAACCCTCAAGTTGATGTATTAATCTAATCTATGGGAGCTACTGATGCCCAGCCTGAGCTGAACAATAAGCAGCCTCCATTTCTTCCTCCATCTTCTCATCTCCTCTTGTTTTTGCTGCCTTCTGCTGCATATTGGTCTTCAATATTTGCAGCTGGGTCTCTCTGTCATCAGAAGACCTCCTTGGAAACAACAAGAAGCGTTTCCTCTTCTTGTTGATGTACAAACAGAGGTCCTCCAGTTCCACCTTGTTGGCGACCAGTTGCGCCACCTCTGTTTCCAGGCTCTGCTGTTTCTCAGCCAGGTCTTTTGAGGTGCGCTCCAGCGCGGTGTATTTATCCTGCCAGGATGTCTGGCTCTGGAGGAGTTGGGCATCTTTGCCTCTCAGCTCTTCTGTTGTCTCTGAGAGCTTTTGATTAAGGCTGTTGTTGTCCTCTGTGAGACGGAGGATCTCAACGTCTCTCTAGCTGATTTCTGCCTCGACTTTGACCCTATACTGACTCTGCTGCGTCTCTCAGCTCTGTTGTCTATCCTCAAGATCTTTGGTGAAGTTCTCCTTCAGAGACTGGAATTTCTCCTGCCAGGCTGTCTGGCTCTGGTGGAGTTCAGTCTCTTTGCTGATCAGCTCCTCTCTTGTCTCTGAGAGCTTCTGGGTCAGACTTTAACAGTGCAGAGACTGAGGATCTATATCATATCATATAAACCCTGTGTATTAAAGCTGCCTGTTACCACACGCTCAGTCAGAAAGTGGTCCCCAGAGACCAATGAGTCTCTCAGAGACTGTTCTGAATACAGACTGGACTGTACTACTGGAGCCACAAGACAACAACAGGGACATGGACAGTAGTGTGGATATTCTGACAGAATATATGAGGGGCAGAAAAAAAATCAAACTCAGAATCAGTCTCCCACTAGGTAGTTATGTGCCTGCTCCGTGGTGGTGAACCACCTCTTGAAGCCTCCATGGGACACCTGTAGAGTGGCTCGGAAAAGCATGGCATAAGGAATCCCATGATCTCATTTCTTCATCACCACGGCTGAGACATCGCTGTAGAATGAGAGCCTGGATCCGTTGGCACCATCTTTACTGGCACGGCACGTCGCCTCCATCACCATCTGCTTATCTTTAAATGCATGAAATCCCAGCAGCAACGACCTGGGACTTTTGTTCCGGTCTGGTTTCGGTGCTAGCGAGCGGTGTGCTTAGGGATGGGAATTGATAGGATTTTATCAATATCAATGCCATTATCAATTCTGCTTATCGATCCGATTCTTTATCGATTCCCTTATCGATTCCTCCTGTGAATTAATGATATCACCTCCTGTTGTTTGTAACCCAATACATCTGCTTTCAGAACGTTTTATTATGAACCTTAAAGCCATGGTCTAGTTTAGAAAGATGATGAGAAAGATTTGGAAAAAAGCATCCTCAGCCTGAGTGTGTCAACAGCGCCCCGCCCGCTGTCCACCTGGAGTGGGGATGCGCCGAAGCTCCACAGTGAGCTAACAGCTCCAGAGAGGCTAACAACAGCATGAAGTGAAGCTACGGCTTTGACCGCTTCTGTCTCTCCGCCATTATGTCTTCTTTGTCATTGAACGGGCTGCTGACTGACAAGCATAGATTCAGCGTAATGAAAAGAATCGATAAGGGAATCGTTAAGCATAAAGGCTAATGATGTCAATGAATTGGACCAGTTGGAACCGGTTCCTGTTCCCATCCCTAGGTGTGCTCTTTCCTGTTTTATGCGTCGGGCTTTAGCAGTTATCTTTCAGACACGGGGCAGCCATGCCTGTGCTGTGGCTGAGTTTTCAGCGGCTAAGATCCTAGCCTTAGCTTCATCTAGCCACTTGCTAGCAGTCTGGAGCTTGGTGGAATGCTTGTGGACAGTGTCCGCTAGGGGAGCTGTTTGACAACTACCTTTATATTAGCAGTCATCACATTGAGGGCTTTGGCAGCTACAACATCTACCAACCACAGCCAACTACCACTGTCCTTTACAGCAGACGATGTGAGGGCGGGGCTCAGGAGACTGTGTACTGGGAAAGCTGGGGGCCCAGAGGGAGTGTGTCAAAGGCTCCTGAAAGACTGTGCAGCCCAGCTAGTGGAGCCCCTTCATTGGATCTTCAACAGGAGTCTTCAAACAGGCAAAGTCCCAGGGCAGTGGAAAACATCTTGTCTTGTGCTGGTGCCTAAAGTCGGGCGCCCGGCTGAGTTAAATGAATACTGACCGGTGGCCTTAACATCACATATTATGAAGACCCTGGACTCCCGTTTCCTGAGGTCAGAGGTCACTGATGCGGTGGACCCCCTCCAGTTTGCCTATCAGGAGCACATGGGAGTGGAAGATGTGGTTCTTTACATGCTGCATCAGGCCTACACCTACTTGGAGGAGCTGGGTTGTTGTGTGAGGATCCTGTTCCTTGACTTTTCAACCTGTGTGCAGGTTCATCACACTGACATGACATAGAATTTATCATCCTGTCACTTTATTTATCATCTCTGTTTGTCTTTGTTTACTTCTCCACATTCAGGGGCAGTGATAAACTGAACACAGACTGATTGTATTGTTGATGTTCTGGAGAAATTCATCTGTCAGATGATGTGTGTGACGTCACAGACTGAGGCGTCGGAGGATATTCTGTGGTCAGGAACTTTGAGCTAACACATGCTAACACATGCTAACACATGCTAACACATGCTGACATCAGAGCCACGGTGTGTTCTGTCACCGCGCGGGGCTGCGGCTGATGACGTCATGCAGGCTGCAGGTAGTCGGTTCTGTTCCGGCTCTGCTCACCTGTCAGCAGGTGACACATGATGCTGAAAAACATCTGGAGCGGCGACAAAGCTAACGGAGCTAACAGCTAACAGTCCGGTTATTAATGTCGCTCGTTCTGCTTCCTGTTCTGATTTTTGTTTGCCGGAAGAAGAATTACTAACCGTCCACAGGTGAACTGTTAAGTTTCTTACCTGTCTGTCCGTCCGTCTGCCTGCGCACCTGTCTGTCTGTCTGTCTGCTCCCACTGAGCCGCTGCTAGCCTGCTAGCTGCAGCTGCTGTCTGATCGGGACACTTCCTTGTACGTCACCACGCCGCAACACAAAACTGACGCACCGCGGCGAAGTTAGTTTGAGGTTGGATGTTGGACAGACGTTCATCCAGATGACGGAGTGAATGTACAACTTCAAATTAACTTCACCTCGGTGACTGACGCCTGACGCAAAATACATTTTTATTTTAAATAAAAAACTTCGTTAACAACATAATTTACGACAAGAAACAAAACAACAGAATGAAACAGAATTATAATAACAATAAATCAATAAAAAGAATAAATTAATAAATGCATAAATTATAGAAAACGTTAATTTAATTAAGTTAATCACTTTTATTTTTATTATATTTAATTTGTCTGTTTACTTACTGTATGAAATTTGACTTTTTCCTTTTAATTATTTTTATTTCTCAGATAAATTCATCGTTTTTTGTGATTTATTATTATTATTATTTAATAATGACAACAAAACTGACAGAAATGTGCTGCATGATTATGTAGTACTTGTATTTCATCCACATCTATATTTGTATTCATTTATGTGTTTAAAAGTTAATTTGTTTATGAACAAATACAGAGCATCCGCAGTGTTACAGTTACATTTTTCAGAGATGTGTCTTTGAAATATACACGAATTAAAAATACAAAACACAACCAATAAAATGATCTTAAATGAAACGAGTCATCTGATCAAACAGCTGATAATGTGGATCCTGATCAGAAACAGATGTAGTGATCAGTTTCTCTTCCGAGGATCAATAATAAACTTTGATCTGTAAACAGTCACGAACATCATCCCACCTCACATCTGTGCTGGTGTTTGTTCTAAGTCACCAGCAGGTGGCGCTGGTGATCTCATCACATCTCACAACAGGAACTCTGAGCTGCAACAAACAAAATAAAACTTTAAACTGTTTTAAAAATAAATAATAAATAAATTCACAAACGTTGTTTTTATTCCAAATGTGATGGAAAAGCTTTAAAATCAAATCACAGTGACAGGATTTTAACAAACACACAACATAATAATTATAAAATAAAAAATATAATTAAAAACATGAAAAGCAACGTAAGTGTCATCTGTGTCAGTGTTTATACATTTATTACATTTTTATCTGCTATAGTTTCTGTAAGTTTGATCTCCAACACAAGACACAGTTTCAGTCCATCAGAGACACAAACTAAGTATTCTTGATTTTAAATTCTAATTTTAATTAATATAAAAACATAAACACGTTTTTGTTTTTAAAAACAAACGAAATGTAAAAACACGAAACAGATTAAAATTCTTTGAAAGATAAATATGTGAAATGAACCCATGAAATCATAAAACAGATTAACAAAATAAAAACACCAATAACGTCGGGGCGCGTGCTCTTATTTTAAAAACCAGGACCGGAAGTTGTGTCAAGTGATTGGGTCAGGTTTGTTTGTTTTATCAAGAAGCACGAGCTGATCGATGAGCTGCAGCAGACGAACTCTGATCAGTCATCAATAACACGTCTTATTAATAAACCTGATAATCGTCTCTCCGCGCGCGTGATGACAGGAGGAGGATTAAGGCTGACGTCACAGCTGCAAAGATCGTCTATTGCTGAGAGGTGTCACTGATCAGGAGGCGCTTTAAAACTTTATTGACGAAGATATTTCTTTATTTAAAAAAACAATACAGAGTGAGATCATATTTGTTTATTCATTTATTTATTTATTTTTGACATCCTGTTTCTGATCCGTCTCAAACTGACACACTGAAATAACAAAATCAATGTGTAAAATATAGATTCATATATTAATGCTCAAAATTTTATAAACTTAAATCTACATAATAATTAATACCTATTTTTAGATATATTTTGATGTATCTAAATATTATTTTTATATTTCTGCTAACTCAATTAAAATAACAGAAATGCGTTAAAAAGTCTCGACTGTCAAACACTATGAAATTATTACATTCTTTTCATGATTTATTAAAATATATTTACATTGTTCCCCAAATACACCACCGGCTTATCACACTTCAAATCAGTCTTTAAAAATATTTATTTATTATATTATTTAATTAAAATCTAATAATGTTTATATGTTAGTTTAAAGAAAAGTTTATAGTTTGACAAAAATAATTTTTATCTCAGTTATTACTTATTTACTTATTTATCTATTTAAGCTTTCAGCTACATTTTGCTTCTTAGTTACCTTCAACTTTAAAATACTAAAATAATAATAGTTTTGTTGTTGTTGTTGTTGTTGTAATATAATATCTAAGTGATGTGAATTTGTGTTTCATCATTTTGTTATTTAATTTCATATGTTTGTATTTTTTCCTCTGATGCTGATAAATGTTAGATAATCAATATAGATTCATTATTATGAGTAATAACTATCTGTATTGATCAGCTTCATGTTGTGTCTCCCAGAAACCTGTCAGAGTGAGCCCTCCCTCCTCTTCCTCCTCCTCCTCCTCTCTCTGTGTCTCATAGTAACGGTCACCTGCAGAAACACACCGGGACTCACGGAGCTCACACCGACCGACACACGGACCCCCTGCCCGCCTCCAGGACACCGACCCCCCGCTGCGCCGCCCCGCCGCCCGCCTCTCATCAAACCCGATCAATCGATACCGGGATCGATCGCCTCTGATGTCCGTCACTGTGGATCAGAACCGGCGCGTGGCCTGCGGCGGGATCAGAGGCACCGGAGCAGCCAACGATGACATCAGCGCGTGAGAGACCCGATCCTCCCCGCGTGAGCTGATCGATCATTTTATCAGGTCAATTGATCTCCTTATTGCAGAACCAATCAGAGCTCCTCATTGATCGGCTGATCGGTTCCAGCTCCTGCTCATCCATACTTTGATTATTTTTGATTATTGATCAGCGGTGTGTGTGTGTGGATTTATTGAAGGTATCAATCAGTGATCCGTGATCAGACCATCATGATCAGCACCTATTGATTACTGATCAAAGAGCTTATTGATGCTCATCAATAACAGAAACTGTCTCTCAGGCTGTGAAGATAAAATGATTGTTTATCACATTATGCAAATGAGCAAAGATTCAAGAGATTGTTTTTGGTCAGCACATTTCAAGTTAGTCTGACTTCCGGTGTGAGGGGCGTGGCCATTTGAATATCCCACTGTTAGGCATTGATGACAGCGCCACCATGAGGCCGCTGTGGCTCATATTTGTTGGGAAACAGTTGCAACTCCTGTTGTTTGTTTGCAGCTCGCTGCAGTTTGAGTCACTCTGGACGACACCCAATGAATAATAATCAATAATAAAAATATAACTGTGTTCACACCGATCGGATCAATAAAGTTAATCAGCAGCTGTTGTCAGAATATTGATACAAGAAAAACATTGTTTCTATAAAACGTACAAACACATCATGGTTTACTCTCATTGAACGGAGTCAATGGGGCGGAGCCTAGACAGGAAGTGATGTCACCTGTCAGTTCAGTACCTGCTTTTCACCAGTAGAGGTCAGACGTCTGGGTCTCTCGTCTCTCCAGGTGTTCCAGTGCTCCCAGTGCTCCCAGTCTGGTCCAGGATGCTGCCGGCCTCCATCCAGATCACGGGGGAGCTGCTGTCGGCGGCGGAGGTTCAGGACATCTGCGAGAGCCTGAAGGAGGACAGCGTGCGGCTGCTGTCTGTCCGCGGCTGCCAGCTCTCTGACCGCGACTTCGGCCGCGTCTGCCGCAGTGTCGCAGAGTCGCACTCGCTTGCTCAGCTCAACCTGAACCTGGGCGTGGTCTCCAGCATCAGCCGGACGCGACACCTGGCGGACGCCCTGAAAACCAACCGCTCACTGCAGACGCTGTTGTGAGTACCGACAGGGTGTTTGATTCACTGCTTCCACACAAGTGCTGACGGTTCAGTCAGGTGACCTCTCTGACTCTGTCCCTGCCCCCTTTCAGTCTCCATGGCAGCCCGCTGCTGGACGCCGGCCTGGTGACCTTGAACTCGGCCCTGTCGACCCACCCGGCGCTGGTCTGTCTGGATCTGGGAGACTGCATGCTGGGAGACGAGGCGCTCGGTCTGATCTGTGGGATGCTGCCGCCCGACGGAGCAAAGTCAGGTAACCACCACCTGAGACCCTCAAACATGTTCGTACCTGGTCACAGAACCCACCTGGAACACCTTAGCAACCACGTAGCAACCACCCGGTGACGCCACAGTGACCTCCTGAACACCCTGTAGTAATTTTCCTGGTGGTGACCGGCGGGTCATTCTCGTCACATGCACTAACATGCACGCACAGCCGGACCGTCTGACCACCACAAACCACAGAGGCTCAGATGACATCACACACAGAGGAAGTGACATCATCACATATCAGACAGTGTTACAGAGACATTTCGACTTCAGCTGTGACTCTGTCTCTGTTTTAATGAACAGCTCATAAAAAGTCTCCTCAGCTCGTTTCATCAGAGAAACATTGAGGTCGTTCAGACGAGTCCGAGTCAGACTGTCAGGGAGCAGCAGGTCTGATGAAACGTCTGCAGTCTGAAGGAAGTGGACACATATTCAATACAGCTCAGAGGACATTTTGTCTCCTGGGACTCCTCTCCTGTTATTTCAGGCTCAGATAACCTGAATTCAGCAGCGTGGACATTTACACGCCGTCACCGCACGCCAGAGGGTTTAACTCTTCACTGTCACGTCGACATCACCAGGAGGAACATTTACAGACAGACAAACACTGTCAGGACATAAAGTGTTCAGTTTATTTCACAGTTCTCAAAACAGAAATAGAAACAGCAAACTTCATCAGATTCAATCAGACTTCATGAAGAATTATGATGTCATCATTTAGAACATTTAAATATAACCTTCAGATACGTGTTGTGTAAAGGAACCTTCAGTGTGTAGTAACAGCGCTGACGTTGTGTGTGTGTGTGTGTGTGTGTGTGTGTGTGTGTGTGTGTGTGTGCAGGTCTCAGGGAGCTGACTCTGAGCGCTAACCCAGGAATCAGCTCCAAAGGTTGGGCTCGCCTTGCCATCGCTGTGGCTCACAGCTCACAGCTCAGAGTGCTCAACCTGGACTACAACCCACTGGGTACGTTACACACAGACAGACAGGCACACACACACACACACACACACACACACACACACACAGACACACACAGACAGACAGACAGACAGACACACATACACACACACACACACACAGACGGACAGATAAAGGCTGCTGTCTGCTGGTTGTTGATGACGTTCTGGTTCTTCTGGTTCTGTTCTCAGGTGATCAGATTGCGGGGATGTTGGCGGTTGCTGTGGCGTCCAGCAGAACTCTGGAGGTTCTGGACCTGGAAGGAACTGGACTGTCTAACCAATCAGCACAGGTCGACCAATCACTTCTCAGTCCTCCTCTCTTCTTCTTCTGTTCCTGTCTTCTCCTCATCATCCTCATCCTTCAGTCATTCAGCTGTTTGTCCAGCAGGGGAAGACGTTGATCTGGACTCTGTCCAACACCAAACCTGGTCCAAGTTCACACTCTTGAAACCAGGGTCCTGTAGGTGTGATGTCACCATGTTTGCAGGGATCTGATTGGTCTTTACATGTGTCTGATTTTCTGATCCAGGTGTTCCTGGACATGGTGGAGAACTACCCAACCAGTCTGCGGGTCCTGGTCCTGGCGGAGAACGACATCAGTCCGGAGCTGCAGCAGCAGATCTGCGACCTGCTGTCTGAAGGAGAGGACGAAGATGACAGAGAGGCCCCGCCCCTACAGCCAGGCCGCGCCTCCAGCAGCGCCCTGCTGCCGATCAGAGACAAGTACCAGCCAATCAGAGACAAGTACCAGCCAATCAGAGACAAGTACCAGCCCCCCGCCTGGCTCCCCCACAGCAGTAAGGGCTGAACACTCCCCCCTCTGTCCTCACCCCCAGCTGTCCCACTCTACCCTCCAAACTGGTCCCACAGAACAGACCACTTAAAACCGGTTCAGAACCAGGACACAACCAGGACACTGGGTTTACTTTATTGTACTATTTCTACTGGTGCTGCTTATTATACTGGTTCTACTAGTACAGGAGCTAATTCTGGTTCTACTGGTCCAGTTCATCATACTGATATTAGTATTCTAGTTTTAGCTGAACTGGTTCCATCTCAAGGAGCCCAGTATACCTGAAAGTGTCCAAGATGACCCAGTAGTTACCTGGTTCTGGCCCAGTGACCCATTCTTAGTCTGGGTCTGTCCCAGCTGATCCAGTATCAGTTTGGATCTGTCCTAGTTGACCCATTATCAGCCTGGTTCTGTCCCAGTTGACCCAGTATCAGTATCAGTCTTGTTCTTTACAAGCTGACCCAGTATGATCTGGTTCTGGTGTGGGTGTCTTCAGTGACAGTATGAGATCTGTGTTCTGTATTGTAGAGGTCTCAGTGTGGTTCTGGTTAAACTGGTTTAATCCCAGTTTATGTTCTGTATTTCCAGTTAAAGACCTTTATCTGAAGATCTGTTCTTCTTCTGTGGTTCCTCTGTGACTCCACTCAGCTGTGTCCTCTGTTCCTGGTCCTGGTCCTGGTCCAGGTCCTAATTCAGGTCCAGCCCCTGGTGCAGTTCTGATTCTGGTTTTGGTCAAGCTCCTGGTCTAGTTCTGGTCCTGGTCCAGCTCCTGGTTCTGATCCTGGTCCTAACCCAGATCTAGTTCTGGTCCTGGTCTCGTTCAGGTCCTGGTCCTGGTCCAGTTCCCGTTCTGATTCTGGTCCTGGCCCTGATCCAGCTCCTGATCCTTGAACTGGTCCAGCTCCTGGTCTGGTACTGGGCTTGGCCATCATTCTGGCCCTGTTCCTGGTCCAGCTGCTGGCCATGGTCCTATCAATCAATCAATCAATCAATCAATCAATCAATTTTATTTATAAAGCCCAATATCACAAATCACAATTTGCCTCACAGGGCTTTACAGCATACGACATCCCTCTGTCCTTATGACCCTCACAGCCCTATGTGCTGGTACTAGTCCTGGTCTAGTTCCGGTAATGGTCCTGGCAGTGGTTCTGGTCCTGGTCTAGTCCAGCTCCTGATCTAATTCTGGTCCAGCTCCTGGTCCTTGCCCTGGGCCAAATCCAGCTCCTGGCCTTTGTTCTGGTCCCAGTTCTGCTCTTGATCCTGGTCCTGGTCCTGGTCCTGGTCCTGGCTCTGGCCCTTGTCCTGGTCCAGCCCCTGCTCTAGTTCGGGCTCTGGTCTTGGTTCTGATCTAGTTCTGGTCCTGGTCCTTGTTCTGGCCCTGATTCTGTTTTGGTCGTGGTCCAGCTCGAGGTCTTATTCTGGCCATGATCCTGGTCCTGGTCCACAGCTTGTTACAGACCTGTATGATTTCTGGTTAAAAGCTCACAGCAGCATTATTGTTATGAGTCATCATTAACTTAAAGAACATAGAACCGACCACACAGAGTGGACCAAGTGGACCGGGCCGGCTGGTCCTTCAGTGAATCCACTGACTGTAACAAACTGAACTCTTCATAGAGTATTTTTATGTTATGAGTCTTTGACTCTGAGTGGACATAGAGGAAACACTGAGGTCCCGTCCACACAGAGACACGCATTTATGAAAACAGATATTTTCCTCAACGTTTTGGCATCTTGTCCACGAACACTTTCAGGTCACTGAAACAGATTTTTGAAATCTCCTCCGAAGGAGCAGCCTTTATCACCACCCACTGGTCCGTTGAGCGCCTGGAATATTCCTGTGTTTTAGTGTGGACGGACATATTTTGGAAAACAAAGGTCGTGTGGACGGAGTTGTTCTGAACGGAGAGGAAAATATTAAAAATATACGTGTATATACATGTGAACGGGACATTAAACGTGTGGTTTTACATGTTTAGCCGAAGTTCTAGAAATATTTGTGTATATATATTCAGACATTTTCTAAATCAGTTTTTAGACTGATTTTCTTTAAAGGACCAGTTCACCATTTAGATAAATCTGATCGTTAACGCACTCTGTACAGTGAACTTGAAGCTACAGCTGGTTAGCTTAGCTTAGCATAAAGACTGGAAACAGTTAGCCTGGCTGCGCCCAAAGTTTGATCTCTCAGAGTCACGTCGTGGGTTCATAGAAAGTTAAAGGTGACTGTTTTTTAATTAACGCTGATGAATTGAGACAAAGAAAATCAATCTGAAAACTGATCAATAATTTGGATATTGATCAGCAGTGTGTGACATTACAGAGTTTAAAGTTAAGCAGCTGCAAGGACCTTTCGTATGGTGTTGACGTTGGTGCCCCCTGTGGACAGAAGTGGTACTCCACTTCAAGATGGAAAGACACAGTATCATCCCCCTGCAGAGCTGGAGAGCCGCCATAGACGTGCACATGTGCGAGCTTGAGAGGGTGGGGTATCTGTCAATCATTTTTAATGTGGCCAATCAGAGGCTCACAATCCTGCCAGTCAAAAACTTATAAGTTTTTAATTCAGCGAATCATTTCACAGTAGTGGGAGGAGTTAACATTTCAAACAGCTAGCTATGCTAACGCTAGCTAGTGTCTGCGAATCAACTCCCCGATCGTAATGGAATATAGTTAATTCAACCACTGCTCTTTTTAGAAGGACCACTGTGAGGAAATGTGTTCTTTGTTTAAACTATCGGACGATACGCTAACTATAAATTATACTTAGCTAGCTAGGGCTAACGTGCCCTTTAGCTGAAAAGTTGTCTATTTCGACTTCAAAATGTTGATTAAAAACTTTGCTGTTCCAAGTCATAGTATCAAAAGATAGCAACGTTTTTTATCAACATGTTAAAGTGTAAACTTTTCAGCGAGCTAACGCTGCAGCCAGAAACAAACATATGATCCATCGTCTGTTTGATCATCTAAACACAGAACACATTTGCTTGGAGCAGGCCTCTTAAAATGAACTGTGGTGAAAGTTACTATATTCTGTAATGATCCATGCTTGCAAGCTAGGTAGTAGAAAGGTTTTCTATTTCTGCTTTACACAAGTAACTGTGATTGCACGGCTAAGTTTATTTTTAAAACAACAATCTAAAATATGTATTTAACAATCTCCGTCTGTACATCATAAAACTGAGAGTCGTCTCTCCGGCTCTGCAGGTGGATGTTTCTCCAAAGATGTGACTTACAGTCAGGTCCATAATTATTTGGACAATGATACAGTTGTCATCATTTTGGCTCTGTACACCACCACAATGGGTTTTAAATGAAACAATGAATACCTGCTTAAAGTGCAGACTCTCAGCTTTCATTTAAGGCTTTTTTCAAAAATGTAGTATGAACCGTGTAGGAATTACAACCATTTCTTCACACAGTCCCCCGACTTTAAGGGCTCATAAGTATTTGGACAAACTAACATAATCATCAATTAAACAGTCAGTTTTAATACTTGGTTGCAAATCCTTTACAGTCAATGACTGCCTGAAGTGTTGGACACATAGGCATCATCAGATGCTGGGTTTCTTCCCTGGTGATGCTCTGCCAGCCCTTTACTGCAGCCGTCTGCACTTCCTGCTTGTGTTTTGGGTGTTTTGCCCTCAGTTTTGGCTTCAGCAAGAGAAACGCATGCTCAGTTGGATTCAGGTCAGATGATATGACTTGGCCATTGCAGAACATTCCACTTCTTTGCCTTAAAAATGTCTTTGGTTGCTTTTGCAGTATGCTTCAGGTCAATGTCCATCTGCACTGTGAAGCATCGTCCAATGAGTTTTGAAGCATTTGGTTGAATCTGAGCAGATAATGGTGCCCCAAACACTTCAGCTTTCATCCTGCTGCTCTTGTAAGCAAGACAAGACTTCACTAGAATAAATACAGAGGGTTTATCACAAGATGCAAACCATTGGTTAGCCTTAAAAATGGAAGGCCAGATTAGAGTTTGTCAAAAACCATCTAAAAAGCCTGTACAGTTGTGGAACAGCATACTATGGACAGATAAAACAAAGATCAACTACCAGAATGATGGGAAGACAAGAGAAGGAAGAAGGGAAGGAACTGCTCATGATCCAAAGCACACCACCTCATCAGTGAAGCATGGTGGAGGTACTGTTATGTCATGGCCATGTATGGCTGCCAGTGGAACTGGTTCTCTTGTATTTATTGATGATGTGACTGCTGACAAGAGCAGCAGGATGAAAGCTGAAGTGTTTGGGGCACCATTATCTGCTCAGATTCAACCAAATGCTTCAAAACTCATTGGACGATGCTTCACAGTGCAGATGGACATTGACCTGAAGCATACTGCAAAAGCAACCAAAGACATTTTTAAGGCAAAGAAGTGGAATGTTCTGCAATGGCCAAGTCATATCATCTGACCTGAATCCAACTGAGCATGCGTTTCTCTTGCTGAAGCCAAAACTGAGGGCAAAACACCCAAAACACAAGCAGGAAGTGCAGACGGCTGCAGTAAAGGGCTGGCAGAGCATCACCAGGGAAGAAACCCAGCATCTGATGATGCCTATGTGTCCAACACTTCAGGCAGTCATTGACTGTAAAGGATTTGCAACCAAGTATTAAAACTGACTGTTTAATTGATGATTATGTTAGTTTGTCCAAATACTTATGAGCCCTTAAAGTCGGGGGACTGTGTGAAGAAATGGTTGTCATTCCTACACGGTTCATACTACATTTTTGAAAAAAGCCTTAAATGAAAGCTGAGAGTCTGCACTTTAAGCAGGTATTCATTGTTTCATTTAAAACCCATTGTGGTGGTGTACAGAGCCAAAATGACGACAACTGTATCATTGTCCAAATAATTATGGACCTGACTGTATTTTAATCTTTTAAAGGCAGCAGTTTGCAGGTTGCACAGTGACGAGGTTGTGTTTTTGTGGCTGTGACAGATTAATATCTGTAACATGACGTACATAGATTCATATTCTGATGTTTGTATTAATACATTTTGTATCTGATAAACAGATATTACAGACCTGTGTCGGAGGCAGAGGCTGACTCAGGACCAGTTTTAAATCTGTTCTGTCCTGTGCATTCGATCCTGATCCAGAATCAGCCACAACCACAAAATATAACGTCACAATAAACAAAACTATAAAATAGGGAAAGATTATGCATTTGAAATTAGTGAAACGAACGAGTTTGGAGTCAGTTCTGTTAGAGTCACATCACACTGTAACCCATCATATCTTTATTGTTTCACCTTTGACTGAAAAATCCTCCCACCAGATTACAAACACACGTTACATAATGTTCACTAAATGTGTGTTTGTTTTCTGTGTAATTGATATCTGTCCGTCAGCTGCATTTCAAGCCTCTGTTGGGTCCATGATAGCTAACCTACCAGCTGTTAGCATCGACCCTTTTACTGTTGGTAAACAGTGTGACATGTTTTGGTGGGCGGGGCTTAGCTGGACGCAAAACAATTCTCTACAGACATTAGCTAGTGCTAGCTAACAAGTTCTGTTGTCTTGTTTTAACAAAAATGGAGCGTTCAGAAACACTCACTCTGAGTGTGGGAGCGCACTCTGACACAAACTGGACCTTTAATTCGGAGAATGTACCGTTGGGTTATCCAGAGCACCGTACTCTCAGCACTCTGCGTGGCATACACATACAGTGTGTCTCTAATCTCATCCTTCTGTTAGGACACTTTAGTGTAGTACACTATGTACACTACATACTTCTTGTGTGGTGCCCTAATTTTAGCAGCATAGTGTTGTCTCAAATCACACACTGCTGTTTTGGACTTACAGGAAGTGACGACAGTGGAGGATTATCGGGGTCTGCCCATTGGTCCGACAGCCCATTGTCCCGAAATCATCATGATGCCCTGTGGTTAAGGTCTGGTTAGGTTTAGGCACAAAAACCACTTGGTTAGGGTCAGGAAAAGATCATGGTGTGGGTTAAAATGAAAAAGTGGCAAACACATAAGCCGTGAGCCTGCTTTGCCTCAAGCCTTTCCCAGCTGACCCAGAGCCGGTCGCGGCGCACCATCAAGGCAGAAATACGCCCGCCGGGAGCCGTTCAGCACCGCGGAGAGCTCCCCACACAACCCGGACCCCAGAGTTAATAACAGGAGGTTATGGTGTTTCATTCTCTCCTCTCTATGACACGTATCTCGACCAGTAGCCTACTTTTGTTGCGTTGCTGATGTAGAACTAACAGTTGTCCTCAGCCGCCATGTCAACAGTTTGCTACGTCACAGAGTTGGTAACCGTTGAGGGTAAGAACTGTCTGCCAGTAGCACACTGCATTTTCCATTACTATAAACGCACACTGTAGTGCACTTGTGTTTAGTAGAGAAGTATGCGATTTGAGACACACTGTATGTTAGTATTTGCATAGTCTCGCCACCAGACAATCAGAGATCTCCGCCTTCTGATAGTCTGGGGACACTCCTTTCAAAAGTGTGTTTAACACACCGGCGAAAATGGCCGGCAACAAAGCAACGCCTCTTGCATTTTTGAAAAGGACACGCCTTCTCGGACATGTGCGCTCCCCCTTTTCTCGTCTGCAAGGAAACAAACACACAGAGAGCTTGAAAATGGATGCTGAGAGATTTAACTCCGTTTTATCAAACGTGTGCTCATCTGTGAAGAAATTTTTTCCAGCGGATGTCTTAGTTACTGGAGACATCACATTTATTCACTTTACATGGAGCTACAGTTAATACTGAGTTATGTTAAATGTTTGCTGAATGTGTTAGTGTCTCTTAATAAGTCATCATAAATCATAAATCATCTTTAGAAGGAGCAGATGTTACCTTAAGCTGCTCAGGCCATGTTAAAGTTATTTTAACGGAGCAAGGCCAGCTAATTGCTGTCGTGCTCGGTTGCTTTGAGACAGCTGTCAGAAATGACAGAGGTATGATCACATGATCCTGTTTGAGCTATAACAGGTGGTGCGTTCCACGTTTTATTTCCCAATTGCTCTTGGAAAGAAGACCGCGCTTTCAGTGAATGTAGAGTCTGTAGGCAAACCCCGGAGATCTTGCCTCCAGAAGAAGAGAGGAAGAGCCCTGGTTTCCGGTTGTAGGCTGTTTGTAGTCCGCGTGATATTGACCAATCACGTTTGAGCCGGCTGCAGTTGTTGTTGTCCCCGTAACATTAGCTCTTTAACACATCAGCTAATGTTAGCTTCTATTCACCTTATTTTTCACGGAAACACGGAGACAAAACAGAACGCAGCCAGCTTCCGTTTTTTTGTGTGACACTTCCGGTCCAGCACCCTTGACCACTGTGTAAATGGGAATCATGTTGTTTACCTTGCTGAGTTTAGCTATATATATATACATATGTGTGTATATATATATATATACACACATATGTATATATATATAGCTAAACTCAGCAAGGTAAACAACATGATTCCCATTTACACAGTGGTCAAGGGTGCTGGACCGGAAGTGTCACACAAAAAAACGGAAGCTGGCTGCGTTCTGTTTTGTCTCCGTGTTTCCGTGAAAAATAAGGTGAATAGAAGCTAACATTAGCTGATGTGTTAAAGAGCTAATGTTACGGGGACAACAACAACTGCAGCCGGCTCAAACGTGATTGGTCAATACCATGCGGACTACAAACAGCCTACAACCGGAAACCAGGGCTCTTCCTCTCTTCTTCTGGAGGCAAGATCTCCGGGGTTTGCCTACAGACTCTACATTCACTGAAAGCGCGGTCTTCTTTCCAAGAGCAATTGGGAAATAAAACGTGGAACGCACCACCTGTTATAGCTCAAACAGGATCATGTGATCATAC